GGTGCGCTCCCGACACAGTGCGTATTGCTAGCTGTATGACCAGTCCAAGCATTTTTCTGCTCAAATATGGCAGCTATATTGATATACGTGAAACAATTTTTTGAAGTATTATTAATGTGAAACAAATTTTTGATCTATGTTAAGTATGTTACATCTATGACTAAATGTAAAGCACATTTTTATGATTGCTGTAATCTATTTTATGATCAAATGTTGACTGAGCCTTTTGGTCCAATAAAGCCCTCTATATGATTGGAAAGCCATGGAAAGAGATGGATATTCATGGTGGATACAGCGTTTAAGACGTGCACAGAATTTATTTGATGAGTTCCGGATTGATCATTTTAGAGGATTTGCTGGCTTTTGGGCAGTTCCTTCCGGTGAGTTGACGTCAATCTGACAAAGCTTACATGATACTTTTGTTATGTTAAATGTCAATAATTATTCAATTTATGTGCAGAAGCAAAAGTTGCAATGGTGGGAAAATGGAAGGTCAGATTCGTCTTCTATCATCTTAAAAATATCTTTTGACGAACAATTGATAGGCCATTTTATAAACGATGTTCTAATTGACAGTAGGTAGGACCTGGGAAATCTCTTTTTGATGCCATCTTCAGAAGTGTAGGAGAAATCAATATCATAGCAGAAGACTTGGTATGTTTCTTCGAATAACCTTTTAAAAATTATAGGAAATTTGGTGTATGACTAATCCTTTCGAGTTAATTGGAAAATGGGTTTTATTGAGTTTCTTGAAAATATGTGTAATTATAATAATCCCCATTCCAGACTTGTTATTAGTTCGGTTTACCCTGAGTTCTCATTTTCTTTTACTGCTACAGGGGGTAATTACTGAAGATGTAGTGCAGCTTAGGAAATCAATTGGGGCACCTGGAATGGCGGTCCTCCAGTTTGGTGACGACTTGCTACCTTTTTATATTTATTGTGCTTGTGAATATCTATTAAAGATATCTTCCACTAAAAATGCTTACTCTCCTTTCTGGGCTTTTTGTCCAGGCTTTGGGAGTGATGCTGAAAATCCACATTTGCCTCATAATCATGAACAGAACCAAGTTGTGTACACTGGCACTCATGACAATGACACGGTATTTCATGTTGATAAGTATTTGATTTTTTATTTTTTTATTTTTTTTATTTTATTGTGGTTCTTTTTTGAGATTTATTGCATTAAAACATAGTAGCTGCAAATTGACTTCCATGAAATCTTCTGGAAGCTACAAAATTCTTCTATGACTTTTATTTTTTGTATTATTTCTTATCTTATGGATTTCTTTTAGTTGATGCAAGCAGATACTAATTTTCCACTATTAACTATTTTTGGTATGCTCAGATTAAAGGATGGTGGGACGTGTTGCCTCAAGAAGAGAAATCTAACGTGAGTATGACTTAATCGTCTAATCCTCATTTACGAGTCTTTTTCAATGTGAGGAGCAGAGAATTGAATGTCACTAAATCTTGTTCTTATGTACTATATGATTCTGTTTTTAGGTGCTAAAATATCTAGGTAATGCCGTTGAAGAGGATGTCTCATGGGGTCTAATCGAGGCTGCACTTTCTTCAGTTGCACAGACCACTATTATACCAATGCAGGATATACTTGGATTGGGTAGTTCAGCTCGGATGAATACTCCAGCCACTCAGGTAAAGAGCAACTCCACATGCATATACGATATCGGAGGTCAAATATGTCATTATGCTATTTATTTTAGTAATTGTGTGTTTATATTTAATATGGTAATGGTAAAGCTACTCCACCAGCACTTGAATTTATGTTGATGTATGAGTAGCTACGGTGATGAACAGTGAATACTTGCGTATACGATCTAGAGTTGAACAATGTGTTTGATTTTCCGTTTGACCACTGACTTGTGAGAATTTTGTACACGATATTTAGTATATTTTAATGGTTCCGTTGTGTTTTACATGTATACAGTACGGAAATTGGAGCTGGAGAATACCCAAGTCGAGGACCTTTGACAGCTTATCATCTGAAGCACAACAACTAAGAGATATGCTTGTGATGTATGGTCGGTTAACTATAGCTGAAAATCCTGGCTGGTAAGTGAGTTTAGATTTCATCTTATTATGCAAATAATTTCGATCGATTCAGCTAAACATTATCATCTAATCGAATATAATAAGCTTATACATTTTGTCTGCATTTGTCCTCACACTTTGAATAAAATCTTAATTATCTGCCTACAGCATTAACCGAATATAGTCTTTAATACGCTATTAGTACTGTCCGTATGATCGAGAATTTGGAGTTTTCAAGAGAATGATCAGGGCACATAAAATTTAGGTTCGAACTATATTAAAGACTTGACAATTAAAATACATGCTATAATACGAGTAGGCATCTCTACCATACACTAGTACAACAAAAAAGGCCTCTCACTCAGTATACCTATCTATATTCGATATATAGTTACGTATACTCGAAATATGATTATGTTTCTAGCTAAGAGCAGCTCACATAACTACACCCCACCCTACAAAATGTCATATAAGTAAAGGTTCGTGTGTTTTCTTCCTACTACATCCATATAGCGTTGGCCTTGATAAGCAATTTCTTGAGCTCCCCTTTGATGTTGAGGCTCATAATCTCATTAGAACCACCGACAAATTTCTTGCCTATGAACACTGCCGGTACGCTCGGGCTGCACCCTAGCTCAGTCAACGCCTTCTCCATCTGAAGCCCATTGGTTAGATGGTCAAGCTCGTATACCACAGGGTTTGCCCCGAAACCTCGTATTAGTACCATGATTGCATGGGACATGCAACAGTTGTTTTTGCTGAATATTACCACCGGACTTCCTGCCCCTAATCCCTTCACCGTATCCATATATATTTATTTATTTGTGTGTGTGTGTGTGTGTGTGAGAAGAACTGGTAATGAAGATGGTGGATATACATATATATAGGGAAAATATTTTTGTCATGTTAATTGGATTAGGGTTTTGATTTCATGCATGATAGTGACTTTGATTTGTCATCTGTTGGCAAGTTGCATAGAATAATATTTGTATGCAGAAAACCAGAAGTGGATCAAATATGTTGTCACTGTATTACTACATGTGTATCTGTCTTTCGATCGTTTGATCAAATAGACGAAAAAGATGTATAAGCTAAGGTTTATCGTCCAAACGAGCCACCTTTTTATCCAGCATATTAAAAAGGATTCATCACCCACATAGAAAAACAGAAAACGATACCTAGTTTGTTGTACCTTACGATAAGATGACTCCTCGGGATGCTCAAAAAGCAACATAAGATTATATTGTTCCGTACATTACGACAAGAGTACACATAGCATAACATAACATTGCATATTCTCCACAGTAGCAAATATTCTACATGAAAATTGCGTAAGAAAATGCTGAAAGATCTGTGTCGATAATAGCCCTTATCGCTTCCTCAGATTCTCTATATCGGATCTTTATTCCATGCAGTAACGAGTCGATCTATCTGTCGAATAAAGCATTGAGGATAAGAATATCTCCCTCAGCTCAAGTTGACCTTACTTTAATTTGTGTTTTTTGTTTGTTTTGTGTTTCATAATTTAACAAATAACTATATATCTTCCCTCCTTGTATAAAAAAATTCTCTACAGTTGACAAATTTAAGGTTGATTCATCCTCTTTTTTTTCTTTTTTTTTCTTTTTTTTTTTAATTTTATATAATAGCAATTATCTAATATTAGTCTATATATTTTCACTAAAACTAGCTGACTCAACTGTTGAAATTAGTTGGCTCAATAGTTCTGAGAAAAATATATTTATATTTTTTTTGATCCATTATATTTATCAAAATATAATTAACTAAGAAACTATTAAAAATATATTTTTCTAATTTATATTTAATAAAATAACTAACAATTTTTTCCTCTTTTTCTTATTTTCTATCTTCTTGTTTCTTCTCACTCCATAAGTCCATATACAACTCACACAACCTATTCTAGTCACCCATAACTAGAGCCGTCAAATTCCAGCCACCCATGGCCAGATTTGTCGAATTCCGGCCACCAACGGTCTACTCCACCCGGATTCGGCCACCCCCGGCAAATTTTGCCAAGATCCCGCCACCAACAGGCACTGACGGGAGTGTTAAAGATGAAACCCCGGTTATTGACCGGTTTTCGCCGTTTGAACCGGCTTCTTGACTTTTCTGGTTTTATGTGTCACATCGGACCGCTTTTGTTCCGAGTCGCCGTCCGGTTCTTACAACATTGCCAAAAACTAACTGATATGTATATGAAGTGTATCTTTCGTGATGAAACAAATCTTAAATTTTCCATTCTTACTCATTATTTATTTCAAAATAATACCAAAATCAGGTAATATTTTTTGAATTATATACAAAAAACATGCATATATTAAAGCTCAAACACATCTTTGAATCATTTCTTTTTATGTTTGAATTTTGATAGATGGTGGTTGGGTATAATTTAATAGAGAAAAAACTATTAACTCTAAATTGGCATTATTTGACTCACCAATCACCATGACATATCTTCCCCATTTTATGTTTATTTTATGTTTTATTTTTTTGGGTAAATTACAACCACATCCCCGAGCCAAAGTGTAATTACAAAATAACCCCTTATTTTTGAGAAATTACAACCAGCCAGCCTGCAGTTTATAAATATCTTATTTCCACCCCTACAAAAGGGTGTTAATGTAAGAAATATACAAATTTTAGGGTATTGATGTAATTATGGAAAATAAGGGGGGTTTTAGTAAATAGAACATACCTCAGGGGGCGATTGTAATTTGTCATCCCCCTTTTTGGCTTTTTATCAAAGTTAATCAATCAATCTGAATTAATCAATCAACCCAACTAAAAATAAAACATGGACAAAGTATACAGTAATTCCCAAATTATACAGTAAATTAAAGCTTAATCCAACACATTAAAATATATATTTTATTATTTTCCCACTTGAATTTCCTTTCGCAACTTACTGATCAGTGGGGAGTTAGAAACAATTAATCACCAGCCAACGACCGGTCAGCTTCGACGGCGGCGGCAGTCGGCGGCGGAGGAGCGAAGTAGTCGTGGCGGAGTTTTCTGGAGAGCTGGTAGAAACCGGTGCAGGCCATGGCGGAGTTGACGGCGAAGAGATTCCAATTCCACGGGATGATGACGAAGCAGTAGCGAGACCAGATGATTCCAGACGTGGCTATCACCGCCTGCTGCGGATACGACAGCTTTTCCGGCGGCTTCGAGAAGTCGGAGATGTTTGCTATGCTCAGCCCCCACTTGAACGTCGGCGCCCAGAAATGGATCGTCTTCGGCCCCGCCGGGTGGTCCCACAGTGCCCGGAGCTTCGACTTCATCTCTCTCTCTCTCTCCTCTTTCTCTCTCCTCTTTCTTCCCTCTGTGTGTGTGAGAGAAAATGTGTGTTTTTTTTTCTTTTCTTTTTGGTATTTTATAAATATAAATTTTTCTTCGTCTTTATAGGTCGAGAGTTTAATTAAATAATCCGATAGTTCTTCGAGGACGATAAAACTAGTAATTATTAAAATAAATATTAAAAATGCATACGTGGCACTTCTCTGTTTCTAGCCAAATAGTAGATATTTTTTTCTTTTAAACAACTTTATGAAATGTCACACCCCACCTCGTAGGGTTATAATGGGCATTTAGCTCAACTGGTTGCGGGGCCTGCATATAGCAACGTCATCAAAGTCGAAACTCGCAATTAAATACTATTGTTTATCTTAATCTATAATTAATCTATGTAGATATTGATTTTCAAGAAAGGCACAATTTTATTCGATTCTACACCTGGTGAAATATTTATGATATTTTAAATTACGAATTTACATACACCTCAATACATGCATATGTAATCAAAGAAATTTATTAATTAACAAATTAATTAGTGATCTCAAAAGAGTTGATTGTAGGGCCAATGAAAGTAATTGTGAAATTGTATTTCAATGACATTTGGCAACTTAATTTAATAATTTCTATTCAATTTTGGGGGGCTAGGAAGCATGTCCTTATCTATATCTATCCAAGAAGTTGGGATTGACTCATTAATGAGTAGGACGGCTTCGCTATTATCCTACGTCTATCACATGCTAAACTCGATAAAAAGTATCGCATGCTAAACTCGATAAAAAATATCGGATGATTTTGCACTACAGATTTATACAAATAAGTATCCACTAAACATGCATCCACGTAGTGATAGTTGTGCGCGTAATTATGTGTAGATCAGTGGTGCCAGATTTTTCAGTGTATTTTACCAGGTGTAGCATCTACAAAACCATTATACTGCGCCTATTTTAATTTATTGTTAAAGTGTTAACATTAAGTAGTTTAGGCTCATTACCAACTTCCATTTTATTAATTGTAGAAGCTAATAAATCTAATTTGGTTTATTAGTTAAAATACTAGACTAAAAATGATTGTACAATATCTATTTAATCATATAATTTCAACTAATAAGTATTAAAAAGGCAAGAGGCCCAACATAAGCCCTACTTGAAATGGTGGATTTAAGCCCACCTTTTCGAAAATGGCCCAACACAAAATCGTTTTATAGTATTATCAGACCTTTTCTTAGTTTAATTAAAGAATAACTAATTAATGTTATAAATCAACAAGTAGGAAATGACAAGATTCTAACTCTAGTTCTTATCTAGATTTATTTGTTTTTTCTTTCATTTTTTTTTAATGAAGGAACCTACACACCATTATGTAGGTGCACTGGATAAATCTACAATCTCGTATAAGTGGCTTGCAAATATACGAGAGACGTATACCACACTATGGTAATCATGTGTGACAGGTTCAACCTAACGACCGTTGGCAAAGAATTCGAATCTGAATCAATTGACACAGATTCACTTGTTCCAACCGTTTGATCATATCCCTTGTGGGACTGGTCGTTTGTATTTGTAATATATGATGCAGGATCAAACCCTGTTCACCTGATCCTCTATAAACCAAGATCCTTGATTATGTTAGTTAGATTATATTACGAGCTCAATAATAATTCACGGGCCTCTTGCGTCGACCAAATGCACGATTAGTCTTGATAAATAATAGGATAAATTACAATCGCCCCCTTAAGGTAAGGTTTATTTATGAAAAAATCTCTAATTTTTTTTATAGTTACATCCACCCCGCACTTTGTAGATTTCTTATATTAACACCATTTTTCTTTAATAGAGAGTGGGTGTAAGAAATCTATAAATGGAAGGGGTATGAATGTGATTTCTAAAAATAAAAGGGTTCTTTTGTAATTAAACTTTATCTCAAGGAGGTGGTTGCAATTTACGCATAATAATATATCAATGTCAATCAAACGAAATATCTTATTTTCACAAATCTAAAATTATAAAAACAAAAAAGCAATATGCTCACCATAAATGAATATGTCTAAGATCTACATTATGCAAGAAACATCACTAATCCACACTATTATATTAACAAGCCCCCACAAAAATCATGTTATTCGGACTAGCCACGTGAGACTCACAAACCGATCGATAATTCGAATATTCGTCGCCATAAACAATTTGTCAAAAAAAAAATTAAAAAAAAAAAGGCAACATTGCATTACATATCATGAAATGCAGAAATTAAAAAAGTGCAGATCGATCCATCAAAGACTTTGTTCATGCCTTGACACAACAGTTGAAGTATCTGAAGAAGCTCCTCCTTCCCTACAGTAGCAAATAAAAAAAATAAAATTTTCTTTTCGGAAAAATTATAATTATCAATTGTAAAACGGCTATTTAACGGTTCAAACGGATTACGATGAATAAATATAGCTACATGAAGAAGAAGAGCACACACCGTTGGAGAGTGACTTTCATGAAAGACTTCGTGAGTATCATTTTGGGGAATATTCGAAACTCTTTTGGTTGACGGGATTAGTTCTTCCTCGTTTCCGAGACTTGCCCTTGACGGGTCCCGCTTGTTTTGCTTCCTCATTTCTCTAATTTTCGAAAAATCCATCGAGTAATCGGGCAACGGTCCCTTTTGATCCCAGTCGCCAAATTGTGGCACGGATAGCCAAGGTTCATTTCTCTACACAATCACAAACGATTTACGATTCATTAGGCACTCAAGAAAAGTGAAATTGGTAGTATTATTACAAGAGTTCTTGATCATAAAACGTCGAATTATTCTTACAACCGATAAAAATAAGGATAATTTATGCTTCGAATATCCAAACACAAACAAGAATTTCATGAATCAAAAATGAAATCTTTGCCCAAGAATTATAAAAAAATTAATTAAAGAATTTAACCAGATCCACTATTACAGACAAAAATATAGGAGGTAAGAAGAATCTTTCTTTTACAAAGAGGTTTCAGCTAAATCAGACAATTTTTAAGAAGCAGGCAGATAACAATATATACAACACAAATATATATATTATACTTAATTCACTAAATTGCATGCAGTTAACTGAAATAAAACAATAAATATATTGTTTAACAACACAGACAGATAATTACATACATCATATATTTCATATATAGAGATCCATACCACACATAATTTACACACACCCGCATGTATGTGTGTGTGATTGTGTGTAAATCAAAGGTTGAAACCCACCATTTTTGTGTACTATCTACGACACCGTTTTGATTTAAAAAAAAAAAAAAAAAGAACACAAAAAACTCAGAAACATCAAAAGGGCAGCTCCAATTTCTCAAGAAAAATCCCAAAAATTCAACATAAAACAGAGAAACATAAAATAATTAAAAAAAAAGAAGCCATTTTTACCTCCTTGCGATGATCCATTTGATAATACACTAAAATCTCTGAATTTTCTTCAAAATTACGAGGAACCCTTTTGCTCCCGATCCACGAAAAACCCAAATCCAACGAGAATTATATGAGAAATTGAAGGAAAGAGGGATTATTTATTAATTAATGGCAGAATTCTTGTATGCCCAAAACCCACCACTGTGTATTACAGGTTAGAGAGAGAGAGTAGAGAGAGAAAGGGGGAATAAATATATATATAGGAAAAAATGGAAGTGAGATAAGATTTGGGTTTACGTGTATATCGCCATTGGAACTCAACACGGTTTAGCTCCACTGGCATTTTTCTTTTACTTTATCAAAGCTCGTTTTCATACAGTATTTTATTGCCTGTTATTTTATTTTTCTTTTTCTTTTTCTTTTTTTTTTTATTAATAATTAATTCCAATTTATGAATAATAATAAATAGTAATTTATTTATCAAAAAAAATTTAATTAATGATTTTAGTAGTGTGCCAGCTCAATCATGTGCTATGATTAGTGTATTCTCAATCATGTTACATAATTTAATCAGATTCTAAAAGGAACATTCTCTCCATTAATTAAAGATTAATTAAAGAAATAAAAAGTGCCTTTGCCAATGCACATGACACATCACTAAAATAAATTCATTTATCATTTTTTAAAGATTAAATTTATTCTATTAATACAAATTATACATGAAATCGTATATTGGGCTGTATCGGGTCAAGATTTTCAATGAACTCATCTATAATGAGTCGGTTCATGCTTTTACTAATATCATAAAAAATCGATTGGTTTATGATTACGGATCAACCAACTATATTAATAAAAAAAATTAAAATATTATTTTAGTTTCTAAATTAAGAGTGTGGTTGTTTCATTTTTTGGTAGATAGAATCTAAACGGTAACTTTTATATTATTTTAGATAAAATGATTTTTTTTTTTTTTTTTTGATATTTCAAGAATGCTTTAAGTTAATGAGATTTATTTTAATAAGCATTTGACTAATTAATATGTTAGTTTTATAAGATTATTTGACTGCTTTACCTAATCGAAATGAATGTTTAGTTCGACTTCGACTTGTCAATAATTTTTTTTAGTACTCATTTCGAATATTTATTAGACTTGAGAACAATTCTTATAAATTTGACTTTGAATATTGTTATTTGAATTGGCAATGCTTAATTAATCTACTGCATTAGTATATTACTTACATCTGTCAATTATTTCTTTTTTCTAATAAACGTGTGATGACTTCTAAATATTTCATAGCTAAACCAGTTGTAACGTTACAATTATCTTAATTAATCAACCTCCATAGAGTTTTTTTATTTTTTTTAACAATCAATTTCGAATCCCGTGTAGAATTTAAAAAAAAAAAATCCAAACCTTATTTTATAATTCGGCCGTTTCAAAATCGGTAAAGATACTTGACCAGAATCTGGCCAGCCAGAATGTGGCATTCATGTAATTTTAGAAAAAGTTATTAAGTGCAATTACTAATGTACCCTTTAATTTGGATTTATTTAGTTTTTAAGAAACACTTCTCCAGCCCACTAACCGAGGTTGTATAATAGTGCAAATGAAGATACGATTTTTGAAGTCACATAAATGAATTGGGTTAATGAGATTTTCTTTTTAGAGGAACTTTAATGGAGATGAAGATACTATAAGAACTAAGAAGAGGTGTAAATTGAAATCGAGGGGAAATAGAAGAGAGAGAATCTATCTTAAATATTAAAACAAATAACGTTAATAAAGAAAAATGGCAATTACCATAAAATTAATAAATGAAATATTGATTTAATAATTATTATATTAGTATAATAAAATATCTCTTTGAATTTAAATCATATAATAAAAAATATTTGATTTATTAATTTTATTATATTTTATCATGTATATCATTATATTGTAACACATGTAATCAATATTGATCCGTTCCAGAACAACGTAGTTGATGAGCTGTCCTTCCTGCTGTGACGGAGGATCTGCAGAGAAAGGAAAACCGGACTGATGCCGGAGTTAGCACTCCGACGATCAAGTCAGTACCACGGCTCTGGTATAATATATTGTGCGTGAATATGTAAACTTTTTGTTAGAGCTTAAGATAGATAAAAAGAACCCCCTTTCTGCTTGGATCCCTGGGGCTTTTATAATGTTTGGCGGGAAGGCTTTCCGCCTTCTCGGGCTCTGGTGAAAGGCCTGCTTTTGGCGGGCTTTTCACCTTTCGGCCAGTCGGCCCGGGCCATCATAATACCCTATTTTCTAGGAACTATGATGCTCGCAGGTCTGTCTCACGTACTTCGCGGCCGCACATAGTCATTCGCTCATTAAATGCTCTGACAAGAGCATTTAATGGGTGTCTGGCCAGGCCTGTCAGAGCATTCAATTTTTCCCCGCTTTTTCCGACCTTCCTCTTCCTGGTCGGGAACTGCGGATAACTCTCGCCCGCCGAACCCTCCTGCGGGCCCAACCTCTCCCTCTCTTTTGGGCTTTACTTTCCTCCTCGGGCTTCTCCTTTGTATATGGGCCGGTTAAGCGATTCTTGGACCATTTTAGTGGGCTAATGTATTTGGGCTTCGCAATCCTGGCCCCGATCCGGATCAAATATACCTTTGAAATATAATCTATACTGATATGTAGATTATGTAGTTATATAATTTATTTATAATTTTTGAATTATTGATCATACATATTTAAATAATTTGACATATATAATTATAAATATCTAAATTACGTAGATGGATAAAATTTGACATATAGATCACAATCGATTCTATACAATTATAGATTATATGCCACTATTGATATTACATATTAGAATTTAGATCACAGTTGATTAGATGTCTACCCTTAACTTAAAATTGATATAGCTTTACGTACATAATAATAATATTCCGACTTAGTGTATATTAGTGTACATTAATATTAATTTATTTGTTTGTTTTGTATATTATTATTAAATATTGTTCACTGTGCAAACAATTCTAACTTAGTATTTGTAGGTTTTATATATATATATATATATATATATATATATATATATATATATATATATATATATATATTATGGAAATATGGTTGTATGAATTACGCGTGTAATACTAAATACTGATTTGATTGTTTTATTGTGACTGTGCGCGCGTGTGGATTGGTCCTATTTTCTAGGCCACTAACTTTCATATTAATAACTCTGTCAAAAAAAAAAACTTTCATATTAATAACATGGTTGGGAAATTAGGAGGAGAATTTGGGCCAAAAGGGTATTAATGGTATAAAATATATAAATAATAAAATAATTAAAAAAAATAATAATTCTGGCTGGCCAGATTCTGGCCATTTAGCATTGTCCTTTCAAAATAAGGGTCGTTTAAGGTTAGTGCACACCAATTATGAAATTATGAAAGATAATAAATACTCTTGATTTTAGAGAAAATAATTTATATTTGACAAAATTAAATTATAGGTAAAATTGAAAAAAATAATATTGTCCTAAAAACCGATAAGTACTTATTAGTTTGGATTTGGCAGCAATTGCCTGTGTATGTTGAATGCACTATAAAATTAGGGTTTGCGGTTTTTCCAGTACTAATTGAAATTTAGGATTTAATTTTTTTTTTTTTAAATTCTAACATGATTGATTGATTATTCACTCAACCAAATGACACAAGGAACAAACACTAGATAATTAAAATTTAATCAAGACAAATTAATTATTAAGACTCCATTTATTGATAGATCCCTTAATTATTAAGGAATTCAAATAAACCTTAGAACAAACAGACACTTCAAAACAACTGAAATAAATTAACATACCTAAAACTTTTTATTAATTAGACCATAATTAATTATAATTTATAGCCCTAACGAAGATTAATTAACCAACAGGCTCTTCTTTCTTCACAGCAACGGGTGCCCTAAAAACACCAACGCGTGCATTGGGGAATCGGCCGGCGGCGTTTTCTTCTTTCTTCACCGGCGGCTCAGCCTTAACCACCACCGGTGCCACGGCGGCGCGCCTGACGGGGTTGGAACAATAGTAGACTTCGTTCACTCCGGCGCAGCCAGTGCAGCAATCTCTAGTGTCCATTATCTCAAAATAATTAACTAATTAATTATTATTACTTTGATCTTTTATTTTTTTGCTGTGATGTATTTCGATTGTTAGAGGTTGATGAATATATATAGTGGTGGATTTTAGCCTTTTCAGGTGTCTCTTACATTTAACTGTACAGATTAATAATGTCTTGGTGCAGTGTATATATTTATTATTACAAGTGTGATAAATTAAGAATTCATCATGAATTTTGGGTTTCTCGTTCCAAATAATGGACTGTACGTATTCAGAGTTGCAATCTCATGCATGTTATTTATTACTGTAAATTACGAAAAAACCACTAAACTTAGGCTAAATTATGAAAAATACCCACATTTATCTGTAATTATCAATATTTTCCTGATCTTTGTTTCCGTCTTACATCAACTCCCTTACGGTGTGATTGTTTACGTAATCCTTTTTATTCTAGAAAATATTCCACAAAAAATGCCGATATAACCATGCAGATGTCGACATATTGAAGGTACCCGTGCACATTGATTAAAAAATTCTATTTTCTAAAAACAAAACGACCACGTGAAAGATCACATTGGAACAGGGTCGGTGTAAGATGGAAAGTTGGAAACAAACGTTGGGAGAACTATGGTAATTACGGATGGGTGAGGGTGTTTTCATAATTTAGCCTAACTTAAAGGGTGGTTTCGTAATTTACTCTATTTATTAATGATAAATTTCATCGATTTTTATTTTAGTTTTTTCTTTTCCTTATTATGAGTTCAGCATAATTCTCAATCCCAGTCTTATAAATCATCACATATTTTTCTAATGAGGCTTTTGTGATTGTCGTTTTTAAGCTCTTTGAACAAGTCCACATTTAATATTTTTCCAAACAATTGCATTCTTCATTTTTACTTGCTTGATTTATTGTGTTTGTTGGTTTCAGGAACACGATAGAGATAATTGCAACAGGAAAATTCGGAAATAAGAGTTAAAGAAACCGAAACTAAAATGTTAGATGTCGTTTTAATTTTACTGATACCGTTTTGAGTGCGATCGTGATGTTGACCCTTTTATAGTCTGATTTTGAGAAAATTTAAAACACGTAAACCGTAGTCCTTTGAGTTAGCTTTCTAACCCAACTCGAATCGGCCAGATTGGATGTCACCAATAAGTTACATTTTGAATTTTAGATAGCTCAATAGATAAAAATTGTGGGTCGTGTTCGTTGATTCATGCATATCTTTCTCACTCGCCATTTAATTTTGATGATACAATTAAAAACGAAATTTCAGAAAATGGGAACCAAAATTTTGTTCCAAAAGCGGGAATTCTTGGATTGGAGTCCGTGAAATTCGAAATATTCCGCTCCCGATTTTCATCTTATGCCAAGAGACTACAATATTCGTAATAGACATATAGCACCAAAAATAAAAAAAAACAATCACTTAAATCAAACAAATAAAAGGGACACAAATATTAAAAAAAATTAAACATAAAACAAAATTGTGCTGCACTTTATTATCCACAAAAGGTTTGAAAAATTACTCATATTGAACGATAACTGCTTCCTCTGCTACAATCCAGTCTATAGTGCCCCCGTTTACTTGAGAAGATGCCGATTCCCCACAGCTCTTAAAAAACAAACAGATAATCCAATTTGTTAAAACCCAATTCGACGGCCAAATAATTAAATTTAAATATTTGCAAGAAACTTATATATGAACACTTACCCTTGAACAAGTGTAGACTAACAAAGTCATCCAATTAAATTTATCTAAAGATATTCTTTGTTCATTATCAGCTGCTTCGTGCAAGAAGAATATCAACGGGGGCATCACCTGCATTTCATAATGCCTTTTTTCACCACAAAGCTTACAATTTCCGGGTTCTCCCGTTTCTGCAGAAGCCAATAGAGGCTTTCCACCATACGAATACCTAGACGAAAACAAGAGTTGACTTTTGAAGAAGTAAAATAAAAAAACGGGGGGTTAAAAAGCTGAGTTTGTATTAAGTTTTTTTACCTTAAACATTGCTCAGGGTATGCATCCACTCGTTTCTTGAACTTGAGATAAGTTCTATCAGCATTTAATGCTTTATCATATTCGTAATTCTCTTCGTCGTATGTTTCTTCATTGTCGGAATTGTTCTCACAGTCTTGGATAGACAGAATCGGGCTCTTTGAAATTTCAGAAATATTTTTTTTGGATAGTTTCTCTTCTTGAACGTATGTGTAAAAGCACGGCATCACTGCAATAAAGCAAAATATATGCATCAAAAAACTAATTTAAGTGAAACATAGGGAATAAAAGCAAGAATTATGGGAGCAGAGCTTAAAGCTAGCAATTAGTTAATAGAGAGAAAATGGGATCTTCATGAACATAAATGATAAATAATCGAGTACATCAAAGTTTCCCGATATTTATACATGGTTGGTTAATAAGTTAACTGATACAAAAAACAATAATAATTAGGATATACCTGGTACTTTATCATCAACAGACCTAGCTGGTTGACTAATATGCAGGGGCTTTTTACTGAATTCACCGCCATTACTCTGTCTTTTGCCATTAGTAGTCAACTTAGCAGCTTCCGAAAGAGCTCTACTTAACTCTTCGAGATCTATATCTTCTTCATCTTCTTCTTCTTCGATGTCAAACGACCACAGATCCTTCTTCCAATTATTATCCGAAACGGAAGAAGAATTAGTTGTGGGCCCCACTTCTTCGCTCGAAATCTTCTGAACACGAAGTGCTCTCCATCTGCACCGGTTGAAAGAAATGAAAGATAGTAAAATAGGTCCACTAATAGCCAAATATTGTAATTGCAAGATTTGAACACAAGGGCCTTACAGGAGGCTCTCACATTGTGGAACCACACAGCCGAAAATATATATCACTCGCTCGTTTATTGATAAAGATTTACTTGAAATTGGAGCATAAATCTGGAAATACAGAGAACGAGAAAACGTTTTTTTTAATCGTATTAATTTATTAAAGGGAAAAAAATAAGGATTACAAATATTCGATTCGAACCTGTGCGAGGAGACAAAGATTGCTTCCACATGTACTGCACTCGAGCAGAACTCGCTTCTCACCAGAAAATTGAAAAGGAAAATCCTGTACATAAGTAATAACTGAAAATTTGAAGAGATGGCAAAAATCAAGAAGTGCGAATGTAACTTTGAAACTAGTTCGAGATTCATACTGGAAGACCTCCAATTTTTGTTGTGTATACGTCTGCTGCTTCGTACTTACTATCGGCCCATGGCCCTGGCATAAATAAAGTGACTCCATCCATGTTTTTTTTTGCTGTTTTAAGAAAAAAAAAGTTATAAAGAGCACTAAAGTTAGATGCCTTTAGCACGGCATGGTAGTCAGTTCGATTTATTGATTGGGTGATTATTACAGGAGAAAAGGAGGGACGACTTTTGACATAACATGATATATGTTTGAAAAATAAAGACAAGTCAAAACCTAGAAAAGGGGATAAAATACGAGAAAGTTATGAACAGAGAGCAGTGACGAATACGCATATCATTCTTGCACGAAAGTGCAGGACAGCCTATGAATACAGAACTTCCAGGTTCAAATTGTCTGTAATAAAATCTAACTAAAAAGAACGAATTATAGCTTTTTTCCTTGTAAAAAATTCCTCATGTAAGAACACAGGGATCATTACACATTCTAGAATCCAACTTTGGCAACAGTTTTAGAGAACTAATGAATCTTTGAAATCATACGTTTCTTCGCAACCTCGATTATGATCCTCACTAGACAAAGGCAACTACATCTGGCAGAAATAACCCAATTCCATTAACAGAAACAAGATAAGAAAATTAATTACATGGAGACATTTTAAGTTCATGCAAGCATTTTGTAAAGCAGGTGGCGTGCATACAAAATGACAACGCCAAATCAAATACCTGCAAAACTAAAGCACACACATGCTGCTATAAAATGTAACATAGAACAATTTCTACAGAATTAATGAAAAGAAGAAGAAGCAGAGATAAATTTAGTCAAATCAATAAAGCTCATAGTAGAATCTTACAACTGGCGTACTGGACTGAAGAAATTGGTGACAATAAATTTTAGCTCCCGAATCCCACACTAGCTCAGCTAAAAAAACCCTATGCAGAGACGACGGCGGAGTTAGGCGGTGGGCCAGTGGCGCAACCCAAAAAATGAAAGGAAAAAAAAAACCTAAACAGAGAAAGGGGGCAGGGTGACGGTGGGGAAACGGTGTCGTTTGGTCACTATTTTGTACTCCATTAGCTGGTGCATTTGCTGATGAAAGATCTAACGCTAAATTTATAATCAAGTCCTTCAAGTATGTCTAAACTACAAATATTTTCTTTTTTATTTGCTACATTTACCCCTTATTCTAAATGTCCATTGACAAATTCTAAAATAAATTATATAATGGCTAAAATGATCCTCAATTAAAAGAAAGTGTATTACAAATAGCCCCTTCAAGTATATCTATATTACATATAACCCCTCAAACTGATTAACCAATTACAAACTCTAATGAAATTTTGAAAATTTGAAATTGCTCCTAAATAGAATATAAAAGTTACTAAGATATTCTAACACTAGAATATCATGTGTAATGCCCTTTTGTTATAAGGGTAAAATTGAGAAATTTGAACGAATATTCTAAGAATCTGAAAGATTATGTTAGTGATAATATCGAAAGGGGAAATTGTTAGAGGGTGAAATATCTCGACAGGTACATAATTGTTATTGTTCAAACAAGAGAGGAATATTTATAATTTAAACATACCTTACAGGATTGATTGACGGGTTTTTTTATAAATACATGGTTAAGTATTGTGGTCATATGTTTATACTAAGATACTCAAATCATATTTAAGGTGTTGGGAGAAAGATATTTAAAAGAATATACTATTGGGAAAAAAATTATATTTATTTACATTTTATTTATAAATATGTTAAATCACCAATCATATTTCTGAATTAGTGACATGTAATTAGGTGTAAGTCGCTTCTAAGTTCTAACTATACCAAATTCCGGCGATTGAGATTAAATTAACGTAATTATTTGTTATAGTTAGTTAAATATCAACCAAACTATCACCAAACTCACTCCCCACATCAACTTGATTAATTGATCATATTAGTCTTAATTGTTTCTTGCAATATTTAAACACTCTTAATTAAGACAAATTAATTGTAATTAACGACACGATTACATCTGTTTGTGGAAATTAAAGTTAAGTAATTAATCTGATTTGGTTTTAATTATATTCTCTAAAAAGCTAACAAAGTTAGGTGCATGATGTTGGTTATTGGATAAGCTACCAGGTTAATTAATTAATTCATTACTCTAAATCAAAACTTATGATCAATTCCTTTATGTATATATATAATAATTAATATATATACCCTTACACTCATAGTTATTACAAACACAAATTTAAAATCAAGGGAATAAAAAAAAAATGGCGGTCACATTAATCTATTTTATTGCTGAAATTTTGTTACCATTTATATTCTTTTTATTTGTTTGGTGTTTCAGAAACATCAATGGTCTGCCATGGAATTGGCCGGTGGTCGGAATGCTGCCCAGCTTGTTCTGCCACCTCCACCGCGTCCACCACCGGTGTGTCGATATTCTAAAGCTCGCCGGAGGAACTTTCCACTTAAAGGGACCCTCGTTTGCGAATAGCGACATCATCATCACCGCGGACCCCGCCAACATCCACTTCATCATGAGCTCGAACTTTGCAAACTTCCCGAAAGGGCCCCACTTCAAGGAGATCTTTGACGTGTTGGGAGACGGGATCTTCAATGCCGACTCCGACTCGTGGGCCCGCCAGAGGAAGCAAGCGCGGGCGCTGATCACCCACGACAGCTTCCGTCGGTTCTTGATCAGGACAACCTCGGAGAAAGTTAGGCACAGCCTTATTCCGGTTCTCGAACAAGTTTGTAATAATAGTCGTGGCATTGTTGTCGATTTGCAAGATTTGTTCCAACGGTTCACATTCGATACCACTTGTGTATTGGTCACCGGTTACGATCCGGGTTGCCTGTCGGTTGGTTTACCGGATGTTCCATTTTCGAGGGCTTTGGACGAGGCCGAGGAAGCTATATTCATGCGGCACTGCTTGCCGGAGAGCCTCTGGAAGCTCCAGAGGTTCCTAGGGTTCGGGCACGAAAAGCAATTGAGTCGAGCTCGAGTTGTGTTGGACAGTGTCATCGAAAAATACATCTCCGCAAAGCGCGAAGAAATCATGGCCGGAAAATCCGGCGGGCCCCACGAATTAGGTCAAGAGAACGATCTAGACTTATTGTCGTCGTACATCAACGAATCGGAAAACGACAACGATAGTTCTTTAAGGGACACAATACTAAATTTCATGATCGCCGGACGCGACACGACCAGTTCGGCACTGACGTGGTTCGTCTGGCTCGTTTCTACTCATCCGGAGGTTGAGAAGAAGATCCGGGACGAGCTAAACTCCGTTATTCCAGAAGATTCTAGAACAAAGTTGAGGTTGTTCGAGGCGGACGAGGTACGTAACCTAGTTTACCTGCATGCCGCCCTCTGCGAGTCGTTGAGGCTATATCCGCCGGTGCCCTTCCAGCACAAGGCACCGGCCCGGCCCGTGGTTCTTCCGAGCGGTCACTATGCGGGCCCGGAGATGAAACTTCTGTTCTCGTTATACGCAATGGGGAGAATGGAGTATATTTGGGGGAAGGATTCGGGAGAATTCAAACCGGAGAGATGGATTACGGAACGGGGGACGGTCAAACACGAGCCGTCGTATAAGTTCTTGGCTTTCAATGCAGGGCCAAGAACTTGTCTAGGCAAAGAAGTTGCCTTCACTCAATTGAAATGTGTGGCTGCTGCTATAATACACAATTATCAGATTGAGGTGGTGGAGGGGCATAATGTAAGCCCTAATGTTTCTATTATTCTATATATGAAGTATGGTTTGAAAGTTAGGGTTACCAAGAGATTGGATTGAAATTTCTGCTCCAATTTTTTTTTTAAATTTTATTAATTACTATTTTATTTATGTTAATGTTTTCAATTGATTAATATATGTGATGTTGTGATATTGGAAGCGTTCAATTTGAATATTTATTATTAATTTTACATTGAAATTTTACTGTTAATTTTGAGGTGAGCAGTTCAAACTAGGATTATTTAATTAAAATTAGACTAGGATATTCTAATTTGGGATTAAATTTCAAATTTATTGTCTCATATTCCAAAAATTAAAAATTTATTAAATCATATTCCAATTCCACCATTCTAGAAATCATAGCAGATAAGCAAGCAAAACAAACACAAATATTTCATTTAATTAGTAGACCATCTACTAGCAACCCTAACCTTCAATCCATCCCTCATATATAGTATGATCGAACAATTCGGCACCACACGGTGGCCGTCGACCACCCGAACCCGATAGTTGTGGATTAAGGCGGCGGCCACTGCTTTCATTTGAGTGAAAGCCACTTCCTTCCCCAAACAAGTCCTCGGGCCCGCATTGAACGCCAAGAACTTGTACGAGGGCTCGTGTCTGACGGAACGGCCACCCTCTGAAATCCACCTCTCTGGCTTGAACTCCGAGCAATCTTTTCCCCAAATTGACTCCATCCTCCCCATCGCGTACAACGAGAACAACACTTTCATCTTCGGGTGCACGAAATGCCCGCTCGGGAGAGTGTCCGGTTCTACCGGCTCCTTGTGCTGGAACGGGACCGGTGGATACAGTCGCAGTGCTTCGCAGAGCGCTCCGTGCAAGTATACCAACTTCTTTGTCTCGTCCACGCTGAAAAAACCTCGCCTTTCGCCCGAGGGTATAATCGTCTTTATCTCATCTCGGATCTTGTTTTCGACTTGTGGATGTGTAGAGACGAGCCACACGAACCACGTCAGAGCAGAGCTCGTCGTGTCTCGCCCAGCAATCATTAGATTCAAAATAGTGTCCCTCAAGAACTTGTCATCGTCACGATCTCCGAGATTCATGTACGCAGTCAACAAATCTTCACCGTTTTCATTCTCTATATTCCAATCGCCATTTTTTCTCGATATTTCGTTTCTTTTCATGGCTATATATTTAATTATAAAACTATCCAAGATTTCCGAAGCTTTGCTCAATCGTCTTTCTCCACCAACTCCGAGCCACCGTTGTAGCTTCCATATCTTTTCAGGCAAAACATGTCGCACGAAAATCGACTCCTCGACATCATCCATCGCTTTCGAGAAAGGAACATCGTCAGCTAAATCCAGCGACAAACACCCTGGATTATAACCGGTGACGAGTTGACATATCGAATCGAAAGTAAACCTCTGAAACAAATCCTGCAAATCAAGAACTCGATTCTCCAACGCCGCCTTTTCAAGAACCGGAATCAGGCCCTTCTCCACCTTCTCACGGCTGATCACCGCCAGAAACCGGTGGAAACTCCGGTGAGTTATCAGGGCCCTGGAAACATTCCTCTGATCCTTCCAGGAATCATCGTCCGAATTGAAAATCCCGTCTCCTAAAACGTCGAAAATCTCCCGGAATTCCGGTCCCTTCGGGAAATTCCGAAAGTTGGAAGTCATGATATAGTGGATGTTTTCAGGATCAACAGTCCACAACATATCCATATTTGCAAAACAGGGCCCCTGGAAATGAAAAGTCCCGCGTCTGGACTTTCGAAGGACCTCCGTGCAAATTTCGTGGATTCGTCCAACGTTAAGCAGAAGTCCCGGCAACATTCCGATCAAAGGCCAGTTCCAGATTAGGCCGCTTCCGCGATTCCTCCATGCACGAAAACCTAGAAACAACAAAAATGCCAATAAAAATTCTTTAATATAAACAATTTCACCCATTTTTTCTTAGAAGAAATATATGCTACAAATATTGTAACAAGTTTTCGGGTTATATATAATATTTCGAAACACTGCTTTTTGAAATCCTATGTGCTAAAAAAAACAGGCCTGATTATGAAACCTGCTTTTGGTAGATTGCATTAATTAATTAATTACCACCTTAAAATTTAAGGTTGATTTATGAATAGATTTGTTTGTTTTTGGTCTGAAAGTCAAAAAAATAGGTTGTTTGAGGATTTTCAAATTAAGTCTTTAACTACTTTAATTTATTGCATTGTCACCTTTGGGCGCACGTGTGAGGTGTGTTAGGTGTAAATAGGGCAAATTACGGCCACCACGAGCTATGGTGAAATTACGAAAACACACTTATATATGGGTAACTACAACCACCTCCATTAACTATATATTATCTTACAAAAATACCCCTCCAGAGATAAATTTAGAGATGTTAAATCGGTAAAAATACCGAACCGAAATTTCGGTATGCCAACATTTCATACCGTTTACCGAACTGATTATATACGATTTGGTTCGGTAAATAATCGAATTACATAAATTTTATGTAAAAATATTTAAAAGAAGGAGGATGAGTGTAATTACCCAAACAAGAGGGGTTTTTCGTAATTTGGCCATACCTCAGGGGTGGCCGTAATTTGCCCGTATTATATATTACAAATAATTAATATTTTTCATTTTAAATAAAATAATATTTTAATTCGAGTAGGGTAAAATACAATTATGAGATTTAAGGGAAAAAAAAATAAACCTTTTTTTAAGGATAAAAAAAGGGGTTTGAATGTTAATGAAACTCTACGAGTTTAATTAAAATCTACAGCCCTATATATATGTAATTCATCTCAATTAAAATCTACAACCCTATATATATATATATATATATATATATATATATATATGTAATTCATCTAACTCTCATTCTCTCACAGGTCGATCGAAACTTTTGACTTTATTTTTCTCCAGAATTAAGGATTCATGTCTTTATTTTCCAAAATCAAGAAACTATTTTCCAGAATTGCCCATAAATCTTCGATGGAGAATAAAGAAACAAGTACGATGGAGGAGAATAAAGAAACAAGTACGACGGAGGAGAATAAAGAAACGAGTACTGCGTCGTGGTCCCCGTTTTCCGATGGCATAATCACAAATTCTCCGGCGTTAGAGGATGCGTATATAAACTATATTCTTTACGGTAAGGGTATTCGTCGCAGACGATTGCCCGTTTTCGAAGAAATATGCCCTTCTGATGATGCTACGGAAAAACACACACATCCATGTGGGTGGGTGCTTGTGGACGAACAAATCGAGCCGAGCCATCAAAGAAACCGTGGCTGATAAGGCAGCAGAGATTTGCGTACTAGGGTTTGTTTCTTTACTTAAGGGTTTGTTTCTTTACTTATTGTTAATCTAGGTATGGTTATATTTTCTTAGTTGAATATATTGTTTTTCTTATTTAATTAAGATTTTAGGGTAGGGAAATTATTATTATTTAAGAACCATCGCAGAATATTTTTTATTTAATGTTTTGGTCTCATTATATCAATTTTGTTCTTAATCTAAGCTTGAATTCAGTTACCCAATCTCAGTAAATTCCTGTGAAAGCATGAAACGTTTGGCAACCCTAAAAACCCTAATGATATTTCTGTAATTATTTATTTTTAATATTTTTTCTCTACTAATTTCTAATTATAATTTTCATTAATTATCAAAATTAAAACTAAACCGTGTAGAGTCCTTCTCCTATCTTTATCGTAAGAGATAAAGATAGAAATTTGATTTGTTAAATCTTAATATGTAACATTATATTTATAATACTACATTATTATTTTTTTCTATGTTAGTGTACTATATTTTCTCATTATATATAAAAATGCTAGTTATTTTACTAGGAAAATATTTTTTTTTCAATTAGTATTAGTGTAGATGTAAATAATAATAAATATTTGAGAAATATTAAATTTATTAAATATTTAAATTACTTATTTAATCATGCTTCAAACTCAGTGCATAAATTTTTTCAATTATTAATATAATGACTCAAACTCGACCTAGCTTCTAATTTACTAGGCTCGTCTATCAAAAATAAAATCGAGCTCAGTCATCAAGCTTCAGGTAGACCCTGCCCGATTGACACCAACACAAACTTATAGTACTGCATGTATAAAAAAATCTTGGACAATATATATTGTAAACTAGTTCAACAAATATTAATGAAAAAAACATATATAAAAAAAGGAAAATAATAAAAAAAAAATGATTAAATTATTGGACATAATTAAATAGAGATAAACACTATTAAGAAGAATAAATGACACAATTAGGGGATTTCATGATTGTGTATCCCATGATAAGTTGAAATCACATAACTTTGGTCAACGCTATCTCTTTCCACCCTTTTCTTCACATTGCACCCTCCACTTGAGCACTTGAAATAATTCCTATTAATTCATAATGGTTAATTTATGTCAATAATTAATAGTTATAATAATGCAAGGTTAATATTATTAATCAATAATTATGAACTTAATTGAAAAGGGTTACCCAAAATAGGGGTTCGATAGAAATTTATATTTTTATGATGAACCAAAATAGAAATATATACCAAAAGATAACAAGCTACATATGTATAAACTGTTGTGGTCCTAAATATAGACACATTGAATCTATTTTTTTGGTAAATTACAACTACCTCCCCTAAGGTAGTGTAATTACAAAAAAAAAAAAACCTCCTTATTTTTTATAAATTACATCCAACCCCCTGTAGTTTGTAAATATCTTACATCAACCCCATACGAAAGGGTGTTTATGTAAGAAATCTTCAAGTTGCAGGGGTGCGTGTAATTATGAAAAAAGTGAGGGTTTCTTTTATAAATAGACATCACCTCAAGGGGTGGTTGTAATTTACCCCTTTTCTTTTCTTCCTGATATTACATCTCAGTCAAGAGAAAATGAAGAGAATCAACTGTATGCATACGATATATATATGTGTGTGTGTGTGTGTGTGTGTGTGTGTGTGTGTGTGTGTGTGTGTGTATATACACACGTCTAAAACAGTGACAATTTTATCGTATATAAAGAAAACATCTTGACAAATTGGTGAAGCAGATTGACAAAGAAAGCCTATTATTTAGGTTGAAGACCACCACAAGTCCACAACATATATACATAATATTATATATATATATATATATATATATATATATATATATATATATATATATATATAATCATTAATACTTTCATGCATAAATTGCTGAAATTAATCGTACATCGATCATTTAACGGAATAAATAAATATTATCATGCTACGAATTAAAGGATCTAGCTCTTTATTTTTTCGTAGTATTATTATATGTCGTTTTAGAGTTTCATAGCATAATTAGTTATCTTTCTACCAAGTTTAAAGGACATTAATTTATGTTTTTTCTATTAAAATTGATCCTAGCTA